ATTTTTCCTCTAAAATAGTTCATTACATGACAGAGAATATACAACATCCAGCACTACAAGTTGCTCTCTCACTTGTGCGCCGGTATATCTAAAAACAAACAAATATACATACAAACGAAAAAACCAAAGAAACAGAAACTCTCTGGTCTGAACACTTTGCATACGACAGGACAGCTGATCAGAGCTGCACACACTTATGATCAATTCAACACCCACAAACATTCTTTAGCAGTTATGTGATTGGTTTTGTGAGTGTGTGTTGGTGACTTTCACAGACTGACCTTCAGGTTTCGTCACAGGATTCTCTTGTTATATATGAGCGAATAAAAAAAATGTCCAGATCATATTTCAAAATTCAAATGTAAGAATTAAAAGCAGTGTTGTAGTCGAGACCACCTCACTCGAGTCCGAGTCGACACCGAGACCAGAGAGAGTCAAGACCGAGTCCATAGAGAGTCGAGTCCGAGACCAGAGACGGTCGAGTCCGAGTCGAGACCGAGACCAGTGAGGGTTGATTACCTAATTTACTTTTATTTACTTAGAGAAATCCTTTTTTTTTCTTCTTTTTTTTTTTTACTGAATTTACTTAGAGTTTAAAAACTATGATCAGTTTAGGGTAAAAAGGCCACATAGTAGGTGGTGTTAAAAGTAATTTTATTACAATTGTCATGCGCAGTTGCGCACTAGAAAATCACCAATCACTGGGCGTGTCAATCAATTTAAAGAAATATTTTATTCACATACATTAATAATCATGAAAAATATTTTTAATTGAACTCGAGTGGACTCGGGAATAATTCCGAGTCCTAAAAAAAAAATGTTCGAGTACGAGTCAATTCCGTGTCCAAATGGACACGAGTCCATGACAAGACCAAGACCATTAAAATATGGTCTCGAGACCGAGTCCGAGTCTTGAGTACTACAACACTGATTAAAAGTATTTTTTTTAAGCATTGCAACATTATTGGAAAACAAATAATAAAATAAAAAATATAAAGTGTTTTATTGTGACATTATGTTGCATTGCCATCAATGCTTTGCAAAGGTATTATAGAAGTGACAATCATGAGGATTATGAAAAATGCATGATAATAAAAATAATTGTCATGAAATTGTTAAAAAATAATCTTAAAGTCTTAATGTTATTTTATATATAATTATTTAGGCATGAAATATGACCTGGATATGTTTTTGTGAGATTCACCAATATCTCAATAGATAATCATAGAGGCTAGAAGGGCATGTGGCAGTACGATCCATAACTAACCGTCACCTATAGATGGGAATACTGACGTCCTCCGGGTGGAACAGTGAATGGCATTCTTCTGCGTCTACCTCTAATGCTACATGTGTTGTTATGCTTCATTCTCTGATCATACTCCAGTCATGCATTTGGATACAAGTGAGCGACAAAAACAAAAGGTGAGTCAAACGTCACAATTTGATTTCCCATTGGTAGCATAACAGTCAAACTCAATAATAATCTGACTTCTCATTGACCCCTGATTTTTCGACTAAATACCAATGCCATGTTAAATATTTTGCAACAAGATGTGTTCAACCTTCACAATTCTCTTTTACAGCCTTCTGATAGTGGCTACATTCACATGCCAGCACAATAACAGAATACAGCTGTCAGTCTTGTACGAAAAATGGTTGAAATGGGGCATTGTACGGACATACAGTAGAATGAAACTGGCTGGTATAGTGTTTGGGATGAAACACTTTTTGATGAACAATTTTTGAGGATGAACTTTAGGAGTGTTCTAAAATGTCAAGCAGTTTAGAATAAAAAATGTAACAATTAGGATTCAAATGTGTTCTCTTGCATTCCATCACTATAGTTACAGGCACAAGAATGCAGGCTGCATGGAATTTCCGGCCATCATTGAAAAATGTCTCGTTTCTGCCTCGTTCTGTGTTCATTTCTTATATTTTAATGCTAATATTATTAAGCACTTCCATCTGCACTTAACACATTATGCCATATTTAAATTCATTCCACTGAATTCTGCACATCTACAATGCAAAAAAGGCCTGCCAGCAAGATTCCACATTCTAATCAGATTCACATTGACATTCACTTGCTCATCATAAGGGGTGATGGTGCACTTCCTGCGTTGAGCTTATAACAAGTGCGTGATAAAACTTCTACCATCGTCATATATTGCACAGTATTTAGATCCTGCTTTTTGCCTCTAATCATTGATGTAAACAAGATCAATTTGAACAAACAATCTAAAGGTCTGAATACAAAACAAAATAGTCGCAGAAATGGGTGATGGCTTCTGGGGATGTCACCAAACACACATCGGAACTTCAAAAAGCAACAAAAGGAAACATGAAATATGCACTTCACAATATCCTGAAACAACCCTCCATTTATTGTTTCACTCATTCTGACTTAAATCGAATCGGCTGCGTCCTATAAGAGGTCCTACTAAACTTAGCGTGGATTATAAACAATATGTGATTATACGTGACATGAAGGCATTGTGCAAGAGTTCAGAGCGATTACGGTAACATACACGAGGAACAGTATTACAGCCGTGGGAGTGTCTTTTTCACTGTAGGAGAACCTGGACTGGGGTGTAATTATTCCAGGCCCTGTCCCTGTTACCTATGGATTTACCTGAGGAGCGAGTCTATGATAATCTCTTCAACAGCGACAGACGGTATGCCACATTAGGATAAATATGAACTGGTTAAATATGAGCGGATAATACAAGCCGGGAAATCATTTTGCGCATTTTATGTTTGTAAACAGACTTACCTTAAAGCTCCACTGTGGATGGAACAACGAGTATGAGTGATACTAGAGCAAAGCAATTGAAATATATACTGTATATACGATCACACCATAACATCTAAGCGTACGCAAATCTGATAAAGGACACTCAAACAGAGGCACAAATGGCTCCTTCATTTTCGTCATATGCTCTCATGCCCTTCCCTTGCGACGATGATAGATGTGATGAAGCTAAGCAGAGTACCGGACACACACAGTCCTGGTAGTTCGCTCGCACTCTTTGCTTGAACGTCTAACATCACATATTGCTACTGAACTGTAACCATGTGCTTAAATGTTATCTTACGTGATGTGGCTTGTTTTAAAAGGAGTTCCAGGGAGGGTTGCCTACATTTCAAAACTTTTGAAAGTAAAATCCTCCATAACTACATATTGCATCTGAATCTGTGACTTATGCTGCATTCCATTCAAAGTCAGACGTGAGATATTCCTAATTGATATCTCTCACTTCTAAGTTGTTACATTGCCTAAAGTTTGGAAGATGATGTATAAGAAAATATAATGGCAATGCTACTGTTTGCTGTGCAGATCTGATTGTCAACAGAGAAGTTGCCAAATTGTAACCAAATTGGAAGATAACTGTGCTAGCATTTGTTCTGCAGGTTTATGATATGATCCTCTTTGAGCTATTGATGTATTTTATTTGCTTAAAAGTGACTGTTTATCATTAAAGCTGGGCTCAGACTACAGGATTTTCCGGACGATTTATGCCTGGTGTCGTTTAAAGCCTTTTGAAGCTGCACTGAAACTCTCTTTTGGACCTTGAACCGTTTGGTTCCAATTGAAATCCATTATACGGAGAATGTTTCCATCAAAAACCTTAAAGTCTGATGGGCCAGGGTTGTCATATCTTGTAGTGTGTGTAGGTTTGAGATTTGAAAGAAGAAAATCTGTGAAGATTCTCGTTATGTGCGTGATGCAACCAGATTTCTCAATCGGGTTACGATTTTAAAAACTTCAGTAGTCTGAGCCCGGCCTAAATATGTGCATCTCACTGGATGCCACCCTCTTGCCGAAAGATATCAAGTTCAAGCAACTTCATGTGGCAATGTATTGCAATGTTCCAAGTAGCAAGCTATCCAATGTAAATGGAATGCAGCATTACTATAGGATGCTTCAACAATGAACACTGTGTGTCTTTCATGTCAACACTGTTTGCTGCCATCTCAAAACTTCCAAAATAAAATAGTTTGTCAATGGCAACCCGTTGTAGAGCTAGCATTGTACATGCGATTTCTCTCTAACTCTATGCAAAATGAAATTATTGAACGTCAAAGCCAAGAGTGCAGTTTGTCTTTCCAGAGGCGTTCGTGTGCCCATATCCATGAAGAGGAGAACGTTCATTGCAGTCAGAGGAACGGTCCTATTGCTGGAGGAGAACGACCGACCCAGTGAGTCAACGCTATCCCGGCAGTTTGATTGAAGCGAGAGTGATCGTTCTCAGCAGTTTGTCCAGATGCTTTATGAATCTTGTAAATTGAGGGTGAGGTAACTGATGCTCTTCTGGTCCAAAGTTCACGTTGTGTCGTTTTTTTCAGAACCAAATTATATTCCATAACAAACTGAATGGCAATGCAGCAGTGGCACACAGTAAAGAAAGCCAAAGGACAAGAAGTGCAAACCCAGACTGACGAAATACCACGTAAATAGCTACCAAAAAAAAAAAAAAAAAGATATAAATTTGTGCTTCTTTAGATTCACATTGTCATAGTCCTAAAGTTTCAATCAGAGTCTATTTGTCTTTTCCGTAAGTCGACATTTTCCAGTACATCATATACACGTGCATGTACAGGTCCATTCAGGTCATCAGTAACTTCGTGACCACTCGTTTCGCTCATTCATTCCTGCTCACTTTATTCCTTGCAATCTTAACGTCTTAAGGAAATTGCATCTCCATGCACTTGAGTCTGTGGAAAGAAGTAGTTCATTTGGGGAAAGGACATCCCTGTCACTCTTTCAGCCATCTGTTCATCCCGTAAGCCCTCCGTCATCTTTGGTAACAGTTGACACTTTGGTGTGTCAGATACATACACAAGTAGGAAAAGGGGCGGTTGAGGTGAAGGTGTCCAGACATATGGAAAGAATGCTCAACATTAACTGAGATATGTTTATATAAAACATAAAAGATGCCACATAGCAGGTCAAAGCTCAATAAGTGACTACAAAAGATGACACTAAAGAAAAAGCAGGCATGACTTGTAAGAAGTGTTGTGAAGTCAGGACAAAGTACAAGAGAAGCAGGAAACAGGAGGATATGAGGAAGGCAGGAAGGGTGGTCACGTGTCGGGGCAGTTCTTATTGCTGCCGCGGGGGGCGTTCTACGCTGGCGGTGTGTGCTCAGGGTTATCTGTATCATCTTAGGAGGAACATTAGGCAGATGGTGCCGAGCAGCTGGACGATCACTGGGAGAAGATGGAGACTCTGGTGTGTCCCGGATAGAACTGCTGTAAACAGGAAGACAAACATTATTACACTCTTTACACTACAACATTCACTATTTCCCTTCATTTTGGAAAGCAGACAAGAAAGTATTGTGGAAGCTAATGGGATTTAAACCTGCATCTTTAACACGAGCATCATAGCTCCAGAAGAATACAATATTGCTGAAAATTTACTCCATAATAGTACGTTTCACTGAAGTTCCTATTGCTTTTCATATAAGGTACACTCAGAAAAAAAGGTACAAAAGCTGTCACTGGAGCTGTACCCAAAGTCTGCATATTGGTGCCTTAGTGGTACATATTAGAACCTAAAATGTACATATTAACACCTAAAATGGACATATTAGGTCCTGAAATGGACATATTAGCACGTAAAATGTACATAATAACACTTAAAATGTACATATCAGCACCGACCTGAATTATGTGTCAAGTTTCTGAAAAATATAAAAGTACATTTTCCCAGCTCATGAGGTTTCTAGAAATGAAAACAACTGAAAAAAAAAATATATATAATTGCTTTCATTGTGATTTTTTTTGTCCATTCCAAAATGTACCAAAATGAAATAAATTAATAAACATAACATTTATGTTTATAGAGGACCATGAGACTTAAACCTGAGTGCAGATATTCCTGAGCTGAGATATTGAGATCCCACGTAGCATTTATCCCATTATAAAAATAGTGGGTTATTGGACAAATAGTGGGTTTGTGGACACGTGGTTTTTAAGCTTAGCTTCCAAATTTTGGATGAAAACTATTTTACTGCACTCAGGGAGGCCCCCTGAGTCTGTGGCACCAAGGGCAGTCCCGAAATTCCACCGTCCGCGAACACACTATTTTTATAATGGGATAAATGCTATGTGGGATCTCAATATCTCAGCTCAGGAAGGGTCTAGAGACTCCATTTTTGCACTCAGGTCTAAGTCTCATGGTTTTTTCGGGGGGCGAAATTTTGAGTTTCTCCAATCTTCTCAAAACTTCTCAAAACTCTGGATCTGGAACTCTGGATTCTCAAGACCCTTCCAGAGCTGAGATATGGATATCCCGCCTAGCATTTATCCCCTTATAAAAATAGTGGTTTATAATGGGATAAATGCTACGTGTGATCGCAATATCTCAGCTCAGGAACGGTCTAGAGCCTCCATTTTTGCACTCCGGTCTAAGTCTCATGGCCCTCTATCAGAATCCAGAGTTTCAAGAAGATTGGGGAAACTTAATTTTTCACCCCCCCAAAAAAAACGTAAGGGGTAACACTGTCGTTTTTTTTTCCGGTCGAAATTTTGAGTTGCGGTTTCTCAGCTCTGGAAGGGTCTAGAGCCTTCATTTTTGCACTCAGGTGTAAGTCTCATGGCCCTCTATCAGAATCCAGAGTTTCAAGAAGATTGGAGAAACTTTTTTTCGCACCCAAAAAAAAAAAAACGTAAGGGGTAACACTGTCGTTTTTTTTCTGGTCGAAATTTTGAGTTTCGATATCTCAGCTCTGGAAGGGTCTAGAGCCTCCATTGTTGCACTCAGGTCTAAGTCTCATGGCCCTCTATCAGAATCCAGAGTTTCAAGAAGATTGGGGAAACTTAATTTTTCGCCCCCCCCCAAAAAACGTAAGGGGTAACACTGTCGTTTTTTTTTTTCAGGTCGGAATTTTGAGTTTCGATATCTCAGCTCTGGAAGGGTCTAGAGCCTCCATTTTTGCACTCAGGTCAAAGTCTCATGGCCCTCTATCAGAATCCAGAGTTTCAAGAAGATTGGAGAAACTTAATTTTTCGCCCCAAAAAAAAAAACGTAAGGGGTAACACTGTCGTTTTTTTTTTGTGGTGAATTTTTGAGTTTCGATATCTCAGCTCTGGAAGGGTCTAGAGCCTCCATTTTTGCACTCAGGTCTAAGTCTCATGGCCTCTATCAGAATCCAGAGTTTTGAGAAGATTGGAGAAACTTAATTTTTCACCCAAAAAAAAAACGTAAGGGGTAACACTGTCGTTTTTTTTTCGGTCGAAATTTTGAGTTTGCGGTTCTCAGCTCTGGAAGGGTCTAGAGCCTTCATTTTTGCACTCAGGTGTAAGTCTCATGGCCCTCTATCAGAATCCAGAGTTTCAAGAAGATTGGAGAAACTTTTTTTTCGCCACCAAAAAAAAAAAACGTAAGGGGTAACACTGTCGTTTTTTTTCGGGTCGAAATTTTGAGTTTCGATATCTCAGCTCTGGAAGGGTCTAGAGCCTCCATTTTTGCACTCAAGTCTAAGTCTTATGGCCCTCTATCAGAATCCAGAGTTTCAAGAAGATTGGAGAAACTTAATTTTTCGCCCCCCAAAAAAAAAACGTAAGGGGTAACACTGTCGGTTTTTTTTGTGGTGGAATTTTTGAGTTTCGATATCTCAGCTCTGGAAGGGTCTAGAGCCTCCATTTTTGCACTCAGGTCTAAGTCTCATGACCCTCTATCAGAATCCAGAGTTTTGAGAAGATTGGGGAAACTTAATTTTTTGCCCCAACAAAAAAAACGTAAGGGGTAACACTGTCGTTTTTTTTTCGGGTCGAAATTTTGAGTTTCGATATCTCAGCTCTGGAAGGGTCTAGAGCCTCCATTTTTGCACTCAGGTCAAAGTCTCGTGGCCCTCTATCAGAATCCAGAGTTTTGAGAAGATTGGAGAAACTTAATTTTTCGCCCAAAATGAAAAAAAACGAAAGGGGTAACACTGTCGTTTTTTTTCGGGTCGAAATTTTGAAGTTTGATATCTCAGCTCTGGAAGGGTCTAGATCATCCATTTTTGCACTCAGGTCAAAGTCTCACAGCCCTCTATCATAATCCAGAGTTTTGAGAAGATTGGAGAAACTTAATTTTTCGCCAAAAAATGAAAAAAACGAAAGGGGTACACTGTCGTTTTTTTTTTCGGTCGAAATTTTGAATTTTGATATCTCAGCTCTGGAAGGGTCTAGAGCCTCCATTTTTGCACTCAGGTCAAAGTCTCATGGCCCTCTATCAGAATCCAGAGTTTGAGAAGATTGGAGAAACTTAATTTTTCGCCGAAAAATGAAAAAAAACGAAAAAGGTAACCACTGTCATTTTTTTTTCGGGTCGAAATTTTGAATTTCGATATCTCAGCTCTGGAAGGGTCTAGAGCCTCCATTTTTGCACTCAGGTCAAAGTCTCGTGGCCCTCTATCAGAATCCAGAGTTTTGAGAAGATTGGAGAAACTTAATTTTTCGCCAAAAAATGAAAAAAAACGAAAGGGGTAACACTGTCGTTTTTTTTTTCGGGTCGAAATTTTGAGTTTCGATATCTCAGCTCTGGAAGGGTCTAGAGCCTCCATTTTTGCACTCAGGTCAAAGTCTCACAGCCCTCTATCAGAATCCAGAGTTTTGAGAAGATTGGAGAAACTTAATTTTTCGCCGAAAAATGAAAAAAAACGAAAGGTAACACTGTCGTTTTTTTTTCGGTCGAAATTTTGAATTTGATATCTCAGCTCTGGAAGGGTCTAGAGCCTCCATTTTTGCACTCAGGTCAAAGTCTCATGGCCCTCTATCAGAATCCAGAGTTTTGAGAAGATTGGAGAAACTTAATTTTTCGCCAAAAAAAAAAAAACGAAAGGGGTAACACTGTCGTTTTTTTTTTCGGGTCGAAATTTTGAAGTTTGATATCTCAGCTCTGGAAGGGTCTAGAGCCTCCATTTTTGCACTCAGGTCAAAGTCTCACAGCCCTCTATCATAATCCAGAGTTTTGAGAAGATTGGAGAAACTTAATTTTTCGCCCAAAAATGAAAAAACGAAAGGGGTAACACTGTCGTTTTTTTTTTCGGGTCGAAATTTTGAATTTCGATATCTCAGCTCTGGAAGGGTCTAGAGCCTCCATTTTTGCACTCAGGTCAAAGTCTCGTGACCCTCTATCAGAATCCAGAGTTTTGAGAAGATTGGAGAAACTTAATTTTTCGCCCAAAAATGAAAAAAACGAAAGGGGTAACACTGTCGTTTTTTTTTTTCGGGTCGAAATTTTGAAGTTTGATATCTCAGCTCTGGAAGGGTCTAGAGCCTCCATTTTTGCACTCAGGTCAAAGTCTCACAGCCCTCTATCATAATCCAGAGTTTTGAGAAGATTGGAGAAACTTAATTTTTCGCCCAAAAATGAAAAAAACGAAAGGGGTAACACTGTCGTTTTTTTTTCGGGTCGAAATTTTTGAATTTCGATATCTCAGCTCTGGAGGGTCTAGAGCCTCCATTTTTGCACTCAGGTCAAAGTCTCACAGCCCTCTATCAGAATCCAGAGTTTTGAGAAGATTGGAGAAACTTAATTTTTCGCCCAAAAATGAAAAAAAACGAAAGGGGTAACACTGTCTTTTTTTTTTCGGGTCGAAATTTTGAGTTTCAATATCTCAGCTCTGGAAGGGTCTAGATCCTCCTTTTTTGCACTCAGGTCAAAGTCTCACAGCCTCTATCATAATCCAGAGTTTTGAGAAGATTGGAGAAACTTAATTTTTCGCCCGAAAACGAAAAAAAACGAAAGGGGTAACACTGTCGTTTTTTTTTTCGGGTCGAAATTTTGAAGTTTGATATCTCAGCTCTGGAAGGGTCTAGAGCCTCCATTTTTGCACTCAGGTCAAAGTCTCACAGCCCTCTATCATAATCCAGAGTTTTGAGAAGATTGGAGAAACTTAATTTTTCGCCCAAAAATGAAAAAAAACGAAAGGGGTAACACTGTCGTTTTTTTTTTCGGGTCGAAATTTTGAATTTCGATATCTCAGCTCTGGAAGGGTCTAGAGCCTCCATTTTTGCACTCAGGTCAAAGTCTCGTGGCCCTCTATCAGAATCCAGAGTTTTGAGAAGATTGGAGAAACTTAATTTTTCGCCCAAAAATGAAAAAAAACGAAAGGGGTAACACTGTGTTTTTTTTTCGGGTCGAAATTTTGAGAATTTTCGATATCTCAGCTCTGGAAGGGTCTAGAGCCTCCATTTTTGCACTCAGGTCAAAGTCTCGTGGCCCTCTATCAGAATCCAGAGTTTTGAGAAGATTGGAGAAACTTAATTTTTCGCCCCAAAAATGAAAAAAACGAAAGGGGTAACACTGTCGTTTTTTTTCGGGTCGAAATTTTGAAGTTTGATATCTCAGCTCTGGAAGGGTCTAGAGCCTCCATTTTTGCACTCAGGTCAAAGTCTCACAGCCCTCTATCAGAATCCAGAGTTTTGAGAAGATTGGAGAAACTTAATTTTTCGCCAAAAATGAAAAAACGAAAGGGGTAACACTGTCGTTTTTTTTTTCGGGTCGAAATTTTGAGTTTCGATATCTCAGCTCTGGAAGGGTCTAGAGCCTCCATTTTTGCACTCAGGTCAAAGTCTCACAGCCCTCTATCAGAATCCAGAGTTTTGAGAAGATTGGAGAAACTTAATTTTTCGCCCAAAAATGAAAAAAACGAAAGGGGTAACACTGTCGTTTTTTTTTCGGGTCGAAATTTTGAATTTTATATCTCAGCTCTGGAAGGGTCTAGAGCCTCCATTTTTGCACTCAGATCAAAGTCTCACAGCCCTCTATCATAATCCAGAGTTTTGAGAAGATTGGAGAAACTTAATTTTTCGCCCGAAAAAAAAAAAAACGAAAGGGGTAACACTGTCGTTTTTTTTTCGGGTCGAAATTTTGAGTTTCGATATCTCAGCTCTGGAAGGGTCTAGAGCCTCCATTTTTGCACTCAGGTCAAAGTCTCAGCCCTCTATCAGAATCCAGAGTTTTGAGAAGATTGGAGAAACTTATTTTTTCGCCCAAATGAAAAAAAACGAAAGGGGTAACACTGTCGTTTTTTTTTCGGGTCGAAATTTTGAATTTCGATATCTCAGCTCTGGAAGGGTCTAGAGCCTCCATTTTTTGCACTCAGGTCAAAGTCTCACAGCCCTCTATCATAATCCAGAGTTTTGAGAAGATTGGAGAAACTTAATTTTTCGCCCAAAAATGAAAAAAAACGAAAGGGGTAACACTGTCGTTTTTTTTTCGGGTCGAAATTTTGAATTTCGATATCTCAGCTCTGGAAGGGTCTAGAGCCTCCATTTTTGCACTCAGGTCAAAGTCTCACAGCCCTCTATCATAATCCAGAGTTTTGAGAAGATTGGAGAAACTTAATTTTCGCCCAAAATGAAAAAAACGAAAGGGGTAACACTGTCGTTTTTTTTTCGGGTCGAAATTTTGAATTTTAATATCTCAGCTCTGGAAGGGTCTAGAGCCTCCATTTTTGCACTCAGGTCAAAGTCTCACAGCCCTCTATCAGAATCCAGAGTTTTGAGAAGATTGGAGAAACTTAATTTTTCGCCGAAAAAAAAAAACGAAAGGGGTAACACTGTCGTTTTTTTTTCGGTCGAAATTTTGAATTTCGATATCTCAGCTCTGGAAGGTCTAGAGCCCTCCATTTTTGCAACTCAGGTCAAAGTCTCGTGGCCCTCTATCAGAATCCAGAGTTTTGAAGAAGATTT